TTAATTAATCTATCTTATTATCCTATTTCTTTGAAAAATTAGGAGATTTGTATAGGTAATTGGTATTTATTATCGGAATTTTGATTTAGGTCGTCAATTTTTGTTTAAACATCAGTGATCAGGACTGAGTATTTATCTAATGATTAAACTATTTCTATTTTTTTAGAATTTCGAGTCTTTCTTTATTTCACACAGTGCTTTAAATTGGTGTTTGTCCTCGTGATAGTGAGCTGTGATTTTTGTCCAACTTTGATGCCAATTCATCTCTGTGCTGTCATATCAAAAGCCAATTTTTGTTATTTAAAAAAGAACCAAATTTAATAATGGTTTATTATATCCCCACATTATGTTAGGATATTTTACATCAGGTTTAAATCATTTCCTGTTCATCTTGACAGCGTAGGATAATCAGTGACTACTCTTTCAACTCTGATGATAGTCAAGACAGGCAAAAATTTGTCATTTTCTTTTACAGTACTAACTTTCCCATTTACTTGCTACATTAATTTTACTTACTCGTAATTTCTTCGATTTTAAAGCCATTTCCTAAATTATTTTTCTAAAAGTCGCCATTTCTCTGTACTCACAGATAGGTATACCCAAAGTTCTCGCGTTTCGTTCACAGAGACACGAAAAAATATTAAAGTGACCCATCCTAGTGATTGTCAACTGGATTGAAAACTCGAGCCAGACATTGATTAGGATATTTTATATCAGGTTTAAATCACTTGCTGTTCATCTTGATAGCATAGTATGATCGAGTGACTATTCTTTCAACTCTCATGACAGTCAAGTTAGGCAAAAATTTGTCATTTTCTTTTACAGTACTATCTTTCCCATTTACTTGTTTCATTAATTTTACTTACACGTAATTTCTTCGATTTTAAAGCCACTTTCCAAATTATTTTTCTAAAAGTCATTTCTCTATACTCAGGAATAGGTATACTCAAACTTCTTGCATTTCATTCACAGAGACACGAAAAAATATTAAAGTGACCCATCCAAGTGATTATCAACTGGATCGAAAATTGATAAGAATTTATTAGCTCTTGTCAAACGTTCTTCGATTCGTCTAAAACGTCCTTTAATCCATCAGCGACGATTAAGAAGGTTCCATTCGGATTCCTTTGTCAGCTGTTTCTTCGATGAGCTCGTTTATCATTCACTGGAAACGTAGAATCGTGGAAGAAATATGGTTCGATGGCAACGAACACCCGGCTTTGGCGAAATATGTCATGGAGGAAATACGTTCCTGGCAGACGAGTTGCATGCACCGAGAATACAGTCGGACGAAGTACAGTGAGTTCTTAAATAATCGCATTAAGTGTCGGTGACGATTGATGGACTGACGCCAAGGAACGTGAGCAGCATTTCACGTTCTCCGATAGAAACTGAATGGAAGCAAAGGTACACTTGAAGCCTGTGATTGATGGTTTAGATTTCGTGCCTTTATCTTCTCTGGCCCCTGTAAATTTGCTCGTCCTGGCGATCGAACGTGTGAACTTGCAAGTCTCACCGATTTTACAGTATCTGTGTATGCTTCTTCCCATAAGTTTCAGTTGTCTACGTTACTCAGCCTGTGTTGGCATCAGTGAGAAGGAAAAAAGGGAAAGAAATTGTGAAAAAATTATTTTTAGCAGGGTATCTATGTATTCTTCTTGCAAATGGGATTTTAAATGATTTCTTTATCATTTGTCCTAGCCTAGATATTCCTTAATAAATAAAATCAAGACACAGGTGTCTTGGAACGCTTGTAAAATTGTTTAAAATGAATCAGAATAGGAGGAATAATAGAATAATGATAATAAAAAGAGAAAAACATAAATTATAATTATTAGAGACACGAAATGCTTTCATGTTAAAAAGTAATTCGATTTTTATTAGAAAGGTTGCGAAGAAATATAAAATTCTTGAAACATCAGCAAAGGGTTATTTTAAATTCATCAATATCCTGTCAATTAATTGTTATTCCTTGGAAGATGGTACTGGAATTTAAAAATCAGTTAGATTTTTACTCATTCGTAGAAAATACTTCTGTTTGATAGATAATCTTTTAGGTTGTATTGAATTTCATCCGCTAACTATTCTAACGACGCCATTTCAGAGATGGGTGATGATCGTCGAAGTTTCTGATCTCGTTAGGGTAATCCGTTTTTGGCTGCCTCAAATCTGGAATTACGGAAACTGCAAGACCCTTCTGCTAGAATTTACGAGATGCATTTAAAATGTATCATCTGATGAGTGTTTAAACACTCAGGCGGCTCCTCTATCCCAGTTATCCTAACTCCTACTCGGACGCCTATGTTGCTCAACTCTCCTGCAAATATTTGTCTATTTTGATCTAAGTCTATCTCGTCGAATTATCGTTGGAGATATACTCTATTATATTCTACAAATTGTAATTCTGCAGAGAAAATTGAATTTTGACACCAAAAAGACATAGGGATTTCTTGAATCATTGGTGTGATGGTAAAAATGGAGACTTAAATTATTATAATAGGAATGCTGTCTAAAAATCTTTTATTCCTAATGAATTCATAAAATTATGGTTCAAAATACTGCCGTTATACCTCGAATCGTGTTTCAGCAAAGTAAATATCAATGTAGTTCCTCGAGATGGTAACTCCAAGTGATTCACCTGTATAATACAGCAGACACCAAGTAGTATGAATCAATTATTGAGGACCATCTGCTCGCGGAGATTAAAGCACGTGATTCTCGGAAGACTTTCCAATCTTTTAATATTTAGTATTAGGAAATATATACTTTTACGTTTAATAAATAGTGTAAATAAATATGTAATTATAAATAAATAAGTATATAAGAAATTCATGTGACCTCGGTACATATAGTAGGGTAAATATAATAAAATAGAAATTAATATAAAATCCTTGATTCTATTGTAGTATTATATTATAATTATTCGTGATATTTTATTTAAAAAATATCCAAAGGAGCTATTTAATAGAGAAATATTTTATATTAAAGAAAATAATCGATAAATTTCAAAGTAGGAGGAAAAATTCGTCTTTTTTAAGTACTCCACGTGTATTGGAAAATATGGAACTTGGGAAAATATTCAGGAACGTCAGTTTTGCTACAGGGAAAGTCAACTACCTGGAGACTTAAACCTTGACGTATAATCGATCCTTTCAATCGTTTCCGTAACGCGGACAAGCACAGCAACGCGGCTATCCATCATCGAAGTTCCCTCTGCGGCTGTAACATTACAGAATCGTTAAATTACTCGCGTCATTTTTCTCGATTTTTCCTGCACCAAACGAGACCGCATTTGCGTGCGAAATTCAAAAAAAAACCGCGCGAAATTCAAATTTGACGCGCGAGACTTCGTCCAACGATAGGATAAAAATTCGTCGATTTCGAAATGGAAGCTTTTCTCGCGTAGATCGTGGAAAATTGGGTAGTTTATTCGCGTGAAAATATCGTACGGCGAATTCGGTGATGGATTCAACGTCCAATTTTCGCCTTTCAGATGGCCTTTAAACACGATGAAATTCGTAAGAAGCTGCGAAAGTTTTGGCATTTGAAGACTGGGAAAAAATTTATAATCGACAGGGAAGGAAGAAATTGATTGGTGTGGTCGATTTTTATTCCCCTCGTCCGAGTTTCTTTGTGCAAGAGGGAATTGATTCTGGAATCGTTTCAGAGTTTTTTCGAGATGATGGAAAGCAATTGAGTTCTTCCGAGGATAGCTCTTCAGCGGATCTTTCATTTGTTTCCATGTGTTTCAGATACATATACGTTTATTTATTTATATAAATATATGACAGGAGTTTGTCAATTTTAATGAGGAAGAAATTGAAATTAAAAATGTGCGTTAAAAAGATTGTTCATTTGTATATAAATTATTTTTATCTCGTATTTGCTTTGAAGACGTTTTCTGAGGGATGAACCTGCTGTTGTTATAATACTGTTTTATTTATTAGATTTCAAAGGCTGGAATTAATCTGAACTACGTTAAAAGCATTTATATATGTATGAGCTTGATGCTTTATTCATAAGCCGAAACGTTTATTTGGCTGTAACAATAAGCTTCAGAAAATTGAAACATGGAAGTAATATCAGCCGTGTTTTTCACAATGTATGAGCATGATTATATAAAAATATTTGAATGACATATCAATTGAATAGCTTCGTAAGTATCGTCCATTTTATACCAATAACACAATGAAATTCAATGAACGCACATTTGCAATTTCAAAATATAAACAGAAATTCAAATTTCCATATTGCTGTATATAAAATCGACTGATTCATTGGTAGTATCTTCAGGAATCATTTGATTTTTTCAAATCAATTCGCCATTCTTAAAGCAATGAAATAAATCGCGAAATTCAAAAGATAGATCATTCGTATTAGGATTCTTCTGATGTCTCTCAAATCCTGACTCGAAATTTGCTAGACAATGTCATTCAAAATAGGAAGATTAAATAATCCAATTTTATAGACTCGAACAGACGAAGAAGGGAAATAAATAAATAAAAATAATCACACGTATTTTATAAATTGAATTCAACATTGAATTCCAATTGTACCCCCATACCGAAATTCGCTTCTTTCCACAAAATTCAGGAATTTTAGTGAGGAAAACAAATAAAAGGAAAATGGTTCTCGGAGTTCTCACGTCCAGCAAACTCGACAAATGTGCATCGAAGCGCGGCAATACTCGAGTCGCATACTCTCTTCTTGGACACCCGTTGTACCGCAGAAAGCGAGTTAGACTCGGGGTAGACTCAGATCGTGCCACGTGAGAACTCCGAGTACCATTGGAAGACCAACACCGATGCGACTAAACCAAACAACAATATTCCCCAAGAACTTCGGAAAAGGACAATCGTATCGCGGAAAGACGTATATATTATACCGGCTGCTAGGTCTAGCTTCGCGAATGACCCAACTTCCAGCAACTGTTGAATAACGAGAAAGGAGCAAGAATTCTTCTTCATACGTTACGTGTCTTTTTTTCCCGACTACCGCAGGAGTGACCATTCTGCTGTCGCTGACAGTTTTCCTGAACCTCGTGGCAGAAAGCATGCCGACGACCTCGGACGCTGTCCCTCTAATAGGTACCTATGACAATCACCACGATAGCTAAGCAAGCGTGTGTTACAGTTTCTGTCCTCTCCATGTCTCCATGTAAATAATTGTACACGTGCACCGTATTTGTGCCTGTCGTTGAGCAATCCTGTACAGGAAGCAAGCCTCGAGAGAAGCGCGAGGGAAAAGTCGCGTGGAACGGGTAAGAAGCTCGAAAGGTCGTTCAGACCAGGGACCAATTTCGCCATTTTCGTTCGCCTGTGTGTGGCTATCCGCTCCTGTGGCGCGAGTGGAGAGACGGTTCTTCCGATGGAAGGTCGTCAGAGTGTGTGGTCGAGACGTCGACCCGAGAGAGAGCGGTTAGAAAACGTTCTC